CCCCAAAACCCCAAAACCCCAAAACCCCATGTTGATTAATAACTTTGCTTTAGAATGAAATTATTTTAAAATCAAGTCTTGCATTGAAATATTAATTTAAAGTAAGATACGTCACATTAAATGGTTGATACACAATTACCTAAAAATTTCACTGAAAAGAATAATGTGATTCTTGGATTGGATGAGCATGGCCTATTTCACATAAAAATTAACAGACCCGAGAAGATGAATGCATTATACAAGGGAATGTACGATGTTATTAGAGAAGGAGTAGATATAGCAGCCAAAGATGAAAACGTCAGAGTCTTAATTATATATGGTTCTAATGGAGTTTTCTGCGCTGGAAATGATCTTCAAAGCTTTATTTAGCAAGAGCCAGCACCTATTGAATATGCATCTCAACTAATAATGAAATTCGTAGAGTTTCCAAAACCCTTAGTCTTCTTTGTGTAAAAAGCGTGCGTTGGTATTATTTCAGCACTAGCTTCCCACGCTGACTTCATCTACTGCTCCGATGACGCATTCTTTTTGTTGCCTTTCATGCAGACTAATCTTTGTCCTGAGGGACTTAGTTCAATAAAATATCCAGAGTTGGTTGGTAGAAGAAAAGCTAGTGAAATGATATTCTGTGATCATTAACTTAAAGCTAAAGAAGCACTGTAATACGGTTTCATTAATGCCATCATTCCTAAAGATCAAATACCTAAAACTGAACCATTACTAACTGAAATTGAAAAGATTCCTAATTTAAAGAAACTACTGTCTTAAGATCCCAAGACTGTTCAAAATGCAAAGAAACTTTTGATAGAGGGTTAAAACCTCCCATTTATGAGAGAGCACAATATGAGAGAGTAGACAATATTTTATGACTGTCAACTTGATCCTAAATTTAAGGAAACAATGAAGAAATATGCTGCTGCATCTCTTAGTAGCTAGAAACAGAAAGAGAGACCTAAACTTTGATTATCAATTAAAAAATGTATCAATTTATACCTAATCATTGATTTCATTAAAATTTCTAAACTTCAATATGATTGATATCATAGTACAAAGGGGTTTTGGGGTTTTGGGGTTTTGGGG